TACCAATTCAATCGTTGTTCCCCGAACCCTTTTTAGCACTTCTGCACTTATATAGATCTCCTGATTCGCAATAAATGCTATTTCTTTTTTTAATTCTCTTCGTTGTTTTTTTCGACATCTGACTTGGTACTTCTTAATTCTTCGTAGTCGTTGAGGACTGATTTTTGTCTTTGCCAATGCCGTTAAAAATCCCGGAGTATATGAATCCATTATTATCCGTTTTTTTGGTTTACTAGTTTTTATCATCGTAATTTTTTTTTATGAATTACTACTTCCCCACCAATATATTACAATATATAAAAAGATCCAAACAATGTCTACAAAATGCCAATAAAATAAAGTACATGCAAATCCTGTTGATTTATTTTTAAAAATTTGAAATTGTGTTCCTACATTTAATAAATCGAAGTTTCCTACGATAAATCTAATAGTAATAATTCCTATTAATATACTTCCTACTAATACATGGAATCCATGGAATCCTGTTAATAAGAAAAATAATGATCCATATATTCCATCATTCATACTAAATGGTGCAAAATAATATTCATATCCTTGACAACATAAAAATATTACTGCACATAATAATGTAAAATATAATCTAGTTTTTATTACTTTATTTCTTTTTTTTAAAAATATAGTGATTAATGCATACTCAATTACGGATAAATCCGTCGGTGTTTTATAATTTGGTTCTATATTTTGTGGATTTTCAAAGAAATATAAATCCCAATCAAGATCTCTTAATTCTTTTACTCCTGCTGATATTGCTATTTCTTTTTGTTCAAAATTTGTTTCCTTTTTGGCGTTAAATTTTTCTCTTCTTTCGTCTACAAATGTTAATGTATTTATACTTTTTTTTTTTTCATATAGATTCATTAAGTTTGTAAATGCTTCTTCTACTCCTATTACTTTTTCATTATTTTCATGAACTGCTTTTTGTTCTGTTAATATTGTATATCCATCTGTTAAGATTGCTCCTGATAATAATAATAATACTGTATTTAATAATGGTAATCCCATATATGAGTATACTGTTAATCCAAATGGTGGCCATACACATCCGATTGCAATCGTAGGTGCTAAACTAATATAAAAATATGACCAAAAAAATGAAAAAAAGAACATTACTTCGGAAATTATGAACATCATCATTCCCATTACTAATCCTCTTTTTACTTCATAAGTATGTTGTTGATCATATAAACTATCAAATACTATACTGATAGCCCATATTATTAACCCTCCTATAAAACTACTTAATGCAATTAAAAATCCTATTTTTGAACTTATTACTTCAAAATAGTTTAATACAAAGTATGCTAATGGTAATGTTGTTAATAATGGTGCTACTGTTCCTCTTACGATATGATATGGATGTCTTTTTACATGTTTTGGTTGATATACATTTGCTAAGAATATTACTTCTTGTGTTGCTGTTGGATATCCCCATTCATTCTTTCTCCACTCCCCTGCTTCTGCTCCTACTTTTTTTCCTGTGCTTTCTACACCTCTACTTATTAAATCCATTCCGAATATGTTTCCTAAAAATACTCTCATGTTTCTTTTTTTTTATACGCTTTTACTACCTACTTTAAAGTCTTCCCCCAAACTCATTTTAGAGTTTGACATCTATATTCAACTCACTTCTTTTCGGTATTAACACTTGAACCTTCAATTTTTTACGCCCTACTTCAAGTGCAAAATATTTACCTCTATTTTTTACAATCTTACCTATTATTTCCTCTTTTGTTCCTTTCATTTTTATATTTACTAACTCTCCTCTTGGTACTCCTATTCCCATTTCATTCGTTCTTTCTTTTATATTTAAATCTTTTATTATTTCCATTACTTTTAATTACTTATTGCTACTATTATTTTTATTATATTTATTATTTCATCTAAGTATACTTGAGAGAATACTATCCATAGCATACCCCCTATTATTATTGTTCCTCCACTTTTCATTTGATACGTTTCTAATTTTTGTACTCCTCCCCTCTCCTCTTGTTGTTTTTTATCTATTAATAGTATTTTTACTATATTTACATAATATATCATAATTCCAACTGTTAAAAATAATATTATCATTGTTATATACAGTCTCCCCTCGATTATATATGGTAATATTAATATTATTTTACTAATAAAGTTTGTAAATGGTGGTAATCCTGCTAAATATAGTAATACGACTATGAAACATACCCCTACTACTCTATTATTTAACCAAATATTTTTTAATTCCCCTAGTAATTCTATATTTCCTTCTCTATTTTTATTTAAGCCCATTATTATACTTATTAATACTGTTAATCCTATTATATAATTTACTAAATAGTATATACTATAACTAACTAATTCTTCGGTATTATTTCCGACAAAGAACATTATTAATAATGCACTATTTACGATTGCACTATACGCGATAAATCTAATTAGTTTTTGTTGTCTTAGGCTTCCTATCGTTCCTACGAGCAAAGTTACTATTATTCCTATTAATAATACCTGATTTAATCCTTGTATTGTTACATATGCTATTATCATTAAATATAAGTTTATTAATATTATTATTGTTACTATTTTTTGTGTAATTGTTAAAAAGTATGTCATTAACATTCCTGTTCCTTCATATGTATCTATTAACCATCCATGAAATGGTGCTATTCCTAATTTTATTATTAATCCTAATACTAATAATGATAATCCCATTTGTGCTATATTATCTACCTTTCCATTTTCCATTAATGTTATAAATATATCCGTATACATTAAACTTCCTGTACTTTTATAAATACATACTATTCCTAATAATATTATAGTACTTGCTATTCCCCCTACTATATAATATTTTAATCCTCCTTCTATACTTACTTTTCTACTATTTTTATTTAATGCTAATATATAAAAGCATATACTTGATATTTCTAAACTTAAAAATAATGTTATTAAATTATGTGCTTCCATACTTATTAACATTCCTATTATACTACTATACATTAAGATGATCCCTTCTTCTGTAATTTTTGTTTTTGTTCCTTCTTTTACTCCTTTTTCAAATATTGTTATTATTACATAAGTTACTCCTAGTAATATTATTTCAAATAATTCTATTATTTCCGTTTTTATTAAATGTCCATTTAATTTTACATATGTACTTTCTTCTATCATTATTAATATTCCTATTACTATTATTGTTATTTTCATACTTTTCAATATTATATTCATTTTTTTACTTGCATTTTCTATACTAATACTTAATATTATCATTAGTATTAATGGTACTATATATACACTATACTTTATCATATTTAAACTACTTTCAAATAAAATCATCATTTCTATTTACTTATTAATTCTAAACAATTTACTGCTATAAACCCTTCTACTATACTTGGTTTCATCCCTACGATTAACATTCCGACTACCATTATCCCTATACTTGTAAACTCATATATATCGACATCTCCATAGATCTGCTTTTCTTTTTCTACTTTTTGTGGCACATCCACGAATATTACTTTTCCTGTTAGTGCTCTTCGTTCTTGTCCAGCTCTTTCTATTATTTCATTCTCTTCTCTTTTTACTATTTCATTTACAAAAAAAATTCTATTATATAACCAAAATGAATAAATTGCTGTTACAATCATACTTAATGCACTAAAAAATGCTATTATTATATTTTTTTTTATTAATCCTATAAATATTAATAATTCCCCTACAAAATTACTCGTTATTGGAAATGCTATATTTCCTAATACTAATAAAAAAAATAATATTGCCATTATTGGCATTACATGTACTAAATTATTATATGCATATAAAATTCTTGTTTTACATCTATCATAGATCACTCCAATACATAAAAATAACCCTCCTGATACTATTCCATGTCCTATCATTAAAATGATTCCCCCTTCTATTCCTTGTAAAACACCACTAAATAATCCTAATACGATTACATTCATATGTGATATTGATGAATAGGCCACTATTCTTTTTACATCTAATTGTGTTAATGTTGCTATTCCTGTATATATTATTGATATTAAACAGATTCCTCCTATTATTGGAAAATAATATTCACATAAATCTGGAAATAATCCTATATTATATCTTATATATCCATAACCTCCTAATTTTAATAATATTCCTGCTAATAATACTGATCCTGCTGTTGGGGCTTCTACGTGGGCTCTTAATAACCATAAATGTAATGGTGCTATTGGGATTTTTACTGCAAAACCTACAAAAAATCCTATAAATATTAGTTTTCTTAAATTTTCTGGTAATACATCTATGTATTCTCTTATCATTATATAATCAGTTGTTCCTAATGTACTATATAATATTCCTATTGACATTAACATAAATATACTTCCTATTAAAGTATATATTAATATTTGAAATGCCGCTATTTTTCTTTCTGTTCTAGATCCCCATACACCTATCATTATTACCATTGGTATTAATACCGCTTCATATACGATATATAATTGTACTAAATCTGTTGCCGCAAAAAAATTTATTATTAATACTTCTGTTAATAATAACATTATTTGAAATTGTTGTTGTTGTTTTTCTTTTATTGCTTTTGTACTAATAAGTATACAACTTACTATTAATACTATTGTTAATACTATAAAGATTGCACTAATCCCATCTACATTATAACCGATATTTATATTTACATTATTACTATATACTGTTACCATATTAATATATGGACTTATTTTGTTTATTAACTCCGAACCCTCTACGCCTATTAACATTATTCCACTTAAGATTATTAATATCCCTTGTACTCCTAATATAAACATTCGTTGATTTTTTTTGGCCGGTACTAGTTTATTTAAAAACATTGTTACTACGATTGCTATTCCTATTACTATATTCATTAATTCTATTGCTGTTATTGCTGTTATTGTTATCATTTTCTTTTTTATTATTGTTTACCTTTTCTCATGAGCCGCTTACTCATCTTGTCGTGATCTGTGGTATTTTGCTCCTTATGAGAATCGAACTCATGTTCTTGACATGAAAAGCCAATGTCCTCACCACTAGACGAAAAGAGCCTGGAGACAATGGGGCTCGAACCCATGACTCGGGTATGCAACACCCATATTATACCAATTTCAACTATGTCCCCAGTTTACTCTTCTTCCTGATAGGGAGACTTGAACTCCCACCTTTTCTAAGAGAGGCTTCTAAGACCCCCGCGTCTACCAATTTCGCCATATCAACCTTTCCTTGATAAGAGTAATTTATCCTTTTAATTTATTTAAATGCCTTATATTTATTATTCCCGTTTTACTATATAAGATTACTACTATTGCTAATCCTATTGCTGATTCTGCTGCGGTGAACGTTAATATATATAAACCACTTAATTCTCCTAATATATCATTTAATTCTACTGATGCTATTACAAATAACATCCCGATTGTTCCTAAATTTAATTCTGATATTATTAATATATTTATTATATTATTTTTATTTAATATCAGCCCTACTATCCCTGTTACATATATACCTATTAAAATTAAATCAATTAAATTCATTCTTTTTTATGTTGTCTTCTCCAAAAAATGTTTCTACATTTCCTTTTATACTCTTATTGCTATTATTCCCTAACCGGTTTCTCTCTTCTTCTTTTTTTATCGCTTCTTTTCTGTTCTGTTCCTCTTCTTCCCACTTTCTTGTATTTGCTTGAATTTTCTTTTCTTTTGCTACTACTTTTTTTCTATTATATTCCTTCTTTATTCCGTCACATACCTCTTTTCGATAATGTGCCTGTATACATCCTTGTACCACTATCTTTTTTAAAGTTTTTACTTGAGTACTATAATTTGCAAACTGTAATAATTCTTGTCGCATCCCATCAAATATTGCATGATACATTAATAATAATACTGCTATTCTTTGGACTCTACCTTTAAAATTTCCTACTACTGGATATGTTATTTTTGGTAAATTTAATGTTGTATCGCCACATGCTATTGTACTTATTCCTCTCAACTTACACTCATTTAATAAATGTTCTCCTTGTTTCGCATCTAAAATTAACATTAATGGTGGTTTTGCTGACATTCCCTGTAATCCTAGTAATTGTACTATAAATTTCTTTCTTACTTGTATATTTGTTAATCCTTTTTTTAATTCTAAATATTGTCTAATATTTTCTTTTTTTCTTGTTAAACCCCCAGCATGGTACGGATTTTTTACTGATGGTTGTCTTGTTTTCTTTACTAAGTTTAATATTGTCTGCCCATTGGCACTATTATTTGCTACTACTACAAATCTTCCTCTATATCGTATTACCTCACTTAATAATCCAAATGCTTTTACAAATACTCTGATTAATTCTGGTATATTTATGATATGTATCTTATTCGTTTTTGTATATATATAGCTTTTTAATTTAGGATTCCATCTCCATGCTAGTTCTCCTATATACATTTCCGTTTTATAGATGTAATCTGCATTACTTTGTTTTATTACTACTGCCTTTCTTACGTTGATTTTTTTTATCATTCTTCCTTTTTCTGTCCTTTTGCTCACTATCAGACTTGAACTGATACTCTAATTAGAAATAGATTTTAAGTCTATCGCGTCTACCGATTTCGCCAAGTGAATCCTACTCTATTTTTTTTACTTATCTTATTCGTTTATATTTTTTTAATAAACTTATAAAATGTATATTTTTATCTGGATATAATGTAAATGGGTATTTTATTGCTGTTAATTTTGGTTCCATTATTAAATTTATCAATAATAATCTATATGAGATTTCTAAATAATTTGGTCCGGTTGCTCTTACTCTTCTTTTACATTTTCTTTCTACTTGTCCTCTTCTAATTATTCCTGGAAATAATAATTTTTTTATTCTTTTTATCAATCCCCTTTTTTGACTTCCTTCTTTAAAACTGATCATATCCCCAACTTTTATTGCATATCCAGGAACGCTTGCTACTTTTCCATTTACTAAGATGTTTTTATGATTTATTAGTTGTCGTGCTTCATATATACTTCTTACAAATCCACTTCTTAATAATATCATATCTAATCTTTTTTCTAATTGTTGTATTATTTGCTCCTCTTTTCCTTTATATTTTTTATATAAGGTTTTTAATTGTTTTAATTTTAAGTTTATATAAAATCTTCTAAATAATCTATATACCATTAATTTTTGATAAAATGGTTCTTCTTGTTTTTTTAAATTTATTTTTTTCTTTTTTATTTTTTTTCTATAAATTTTCCCTCCTATTCTAAACAATAAATGTAATATTCTCTTTAATTTTTTTCTTTTATATGTTGTTACTTTTCTCTTTTGTAATTTTTGTTTTTTTCGGGGTTTTTTTAACGGATATAATTCCTTCTTTAATAAAAATACCTTATTGGATATTATATTTAATCGTGTATTTGTATATCCTTGATATTGTTTTAATTCTCCCATATCCATATTATATCTCTTTATAAATTTTGTTCTATTTTTTTTTATTCTCATTCTTTTCTTTTATAAATTTTGTTTTTGTCTAGGAGTGGATTCGAACCACCGACTTAAAGATTTTCAGTCTTTCACTCTAACCAACTGAGTTACCTAAACGAGGTGATTCATAATACATGGGTGAGCCTGGCTCGCATACGTTCACCAACGTATACTCCCATATTGCTAGTACTAATGCTTTATTTTAATAATGCTTACTTTACTTTACTACGACTTGTTTGGTTTATTAATACAAATGTAAATGATACCTATTAGAATATATAATTCCATATATATAACTCCTGCTACATACGAGAATAATCCTACTACAATTATCATTATGATTGCCTGTACTATATAACTAATATATGTTGAGATTGTCGTTTCATTATTTAATTTAAATTCTGTAAATTCTTTTACTAATGCTGTTGCCACTCCGGTTACTCCTATTTGTTCCCATAATCCTTTATCTAATTCTTTATTCATTACATCATAAGATAAATGAAAAAATGGAACTACTATTAAAACTCTTGATAAGAAATCAAAATACCATTTTTTTACAAAAAAGAAATAACTTTCTTTTGTACTTTCTGTCATTACTACGTCTTGCATTCGCGCTTCTTTAATATTATAATAAAATAATACTGGTGTTATTACTCCATAGATAAATGCAAATAATGGTAATAATTTTAATTCTCTTTGTAATACTTCTGATTCTAATATTAAATTATTATATGGATATGCATAAAATGAATTATTCCATACTGGTGTTCCTAATCCTACAAATAAGTCTTTTGTTATATATCCAATAAATATACTACAAATTGCTAAGATTACTAATGGAATTACCATTTTTGTACTTGCTTCATGTACTCCTTGTATCGTTTTATATGACATTCTTGGTTTATTAAAAAATGTTAAGATTAATAATCGAAATGAATAAAAGGTTGTTCCAAATGCCGCTACATATCCTATTATTGCTGCAAAGGTACCTTCCCAATAGTAAGTTGCATAACTTGTTTCTAATATGATATCTTTGGAATAATACCCTGATAAAAATGGAAATCCCGTTAATGCTAAAGTACCTATTAACATACATTGATACGTTAATGGCATTAAATTTACTAATCCTCCCATTTTTCTCATATCTTGTTCATCATTTAATCCATGGATTACGGATCCTGCACTTAAAAATAATAATGCTTTAAAAAATGCATGTGTTGTTAAATGGTAGATACTTGCATTATAATTTAATAATCCACATGCAAATATCATATATCCTAATTGACTACAGGTTGAATACGCAATTACTCTTTTTATATCATTTTGAACTATTCCTATTGTTGTTGCAAATAACGTTGTTAACGCCCCTATTATTGTTAATATATTTAAGATCGTTATTGAATAACTTAATAATGGTGATGTTCTTAATACTAAGAATACTCCTGCAGTTACCATTGTTGCTGCATGTAATAATGCTGATACTGGTGTTGGTCCTTCCATTGCATCTGGCAACCACATATGTAATCCTAATTGCGCTGATTTTCCAACTACTCCTATTACTATAAAGCTTCCTATTAATGTAATGGCATTTACTTCATATCCGATTAAATTTATTGTATATTCCGTTACAAAAGGTGCTACTGTAAATATTACAGAAAAATCTACACTTTTAAATACTAAAAAGACTAATAAAATTCCAAAAAATAATCCAAAATCTCCAAATCTATTTAATATTACTGCTTTTAATGCCGATTTATTTGCTTGTAATCTTGTATACCAAAAATTTATTAATAAATAAGACATTATTCCAACTCCTTCCCATCCAAAAAATAATTGGACAAAGTTATCTGCTGTTACTAATAACATCATAAAAAATGTAAACAATGATAAATATGAAAAAAATCTTGTTTTATGTGGATCTGCTTTCATATAATCCATTGAATATAAATGTACCATACTTGATATACTCGTTATCACTATTATCATAATACTTGTTAAACTATCATATAATAAGCCATATTCTACATTTAGACTTCCTACTTGCATCCAGGTTCCTAATTTAAAATGTACTACACTATTACATAATAAGATTTCATAACCAATATACAAGCTACTTAATGCCGTTAACATCATACATCCAACCGCTATTTGAATACTTATTCTATTTCCTAATTTATGTCCTAATATCCCTGTTACAATACTTCCTATTAATGGTAATATTAAATTTACTATATACATTTTTTATTTTTCCAAATTCCTGCTTCTATTATTTTTTTTTCTTTTCTATTTTGTCCTGTTATCATTAAATTTTTACTTAATCTTATATTTATATCTGTCATATAATAGTTTTCTATTATATTATTTATTGTTATATTTTTATTTATTTTTATTTTTCTTTCTGGTGCTTCTCTATATCTTATTTCCATCTCTTTTTGTTCTTTTTCTTTTCTTTTTATTTCTTTATTATTTAAATACATTAATTGTATATATCCTATCATACTATTTTCTTTTATTTTATTTCCTTTACTTATTTTTAATTTTTCCATTTCACTTCTTTGTCCAAACATATTAATATATACTTCTCTTTCTCCGTCAAAATCTTCAAAATAATGTTTACTTGGTAAGTATAAATCAATTTTATTTTCAAAGGTATCATTTATAATTCCTTGATATATTACATAATTTATGTTCTCTGAGATCTTAAATTCATTACTATCAATACTATATAATACATTTCCACCTTTACTAAAATTTTCTTTAAACACTCCTTCTTCTAGTGCCATTCCAAAATTTGCTCCTTGTGTTATTACGACTACATTTTCTGGTTTCACATTACTTACTTTTGTCAGTGCTGCTCTTATTTCTTGTATTGTTAATGATACTCTTGTTAATAAACTTGTTCCTATGATTACTAATGGTAATTTACTTTTTTTAATTTGTTGACAATATTGTAATCTACCTTCAAATAATTTTAACATACTATTTACTGTTGATCCTAAATATTCACTTTCATCTTTCCACTCAAATTTATTTCCTATTATTCCTATTTTTTTTACTGTCTCTATTTCATCATCTCCAAAATTTATATTTCGTAATTTGATATTTAATAATGGACTTTCTAATCGTAAATTCACTCCACATAATAATACTAAATCATTTTTATCTACAGTATATAAATCATTACTATTTAAATAATTTTCTCTAAAATCATAATTAAATTTTTTATATAATAATCCATTTTCTGTTATATAATTTTTACTTCCTAATCGATTCATTAATTCTTTATATATTCTTAAATTCGTAGTATTTATTTTTGATCCTATTATTACATCTACTTTATTTTGTTTATTTAATAATACTTTAAATACTATTTTTAATGCTGTTTTCCAACTTAATTCCATATATTTATTCTCTTGTATTTTATAACTTGGTGTTTCTTTTCTCAATTTTTCAATCACTTTATAACTTTCATAATGAAATCTTACTTTATCCGTTATCCATTCTTCATTTAGTCTATCATTTATTCTTGGTAAGATTCGAAATATTTCTCCTCCTTTCACTTGATAATTAATTGGTGTTAATACAGAATCAAATATATCGATTCCTTTTACATTTTTTAATTCCCAAGGTCGTCCTTTATATGCATATACCGCTGATGTTAATGCTCCTACTGGACATAAATCAATTATATTTCCTGATAATTCACTTTCTATTAATACATCTTTTTTATAAGTCCCAATTTCCATATTATAACCTCTTCCTAAAACTCCTAATTCATTTACTCCTGCGATTTCTGTTAAGAATCGAACACATCTTGTACAATGTATACATCTTGTCATTATTCCTTTTATTAATCGTCCAAACGCTTTTATTTCTACTGCTCGTTTTTTTATATAAAATCTTCCTGTATCTAATCCATAGGCTAATGTTTGTTCTTGTAAATCACATTCTCCTCCTTGATCACAGATTGGACAATCTAATGGATGGTTTATTAATAAAAATTCCATTACTCCTTCTCTCGCTTTTAATATTTCATCTATTTCCGTTTCTATACTTTCATCGTCAAAGTTCTCATCCAATGGGATTCCACATGCCGCTAATAGTTTTTCTTCATTTGTAACATATACTAAACACATTCGACAATTTCCTGCTATTGTTAATTTTTCATGATAACAAAATCTTGGTATTTCTATACCATTTGCCGTACACGCTTGTAATATGGTCATTTCTTCCTTTTCCTCATTTACTTCACATTCTATTTCATTTATTTTAAATCTTATTATCATTCGTTTTCTTTTTCTTCGTTTCTGGGTAGGTAACCGGAATCGAACCGGTATCTTTGAAGTCACAATCCAATGCTCTATCCATTTAAGCTATACCCATTCTTTCTTTCTCTCTCTATCCCCTAAAGAGGACTCGAACCTCTGACTTTCCGCTTATCAAACGAACACTCTAACCAACTGAGTTATTAGGTTATCCCCCAAAGAGGACTCGAACCTCTGACTTTCCGCTTATCAAACGAACACTCTAACCAACTGAGTTATTGGGCCTTTCGTTAATTCCTCTTAAATTCTTCTTCTTTTTTTCTTTCGCATACTACCGTGTGCTTTGTTTTTTGTAAATTTATACATTCGTAGTAAGCCTTCGTTGCTATATACATACCAATTTTTATATAATATTGTTTTTACTATTGGATGTTTTGTTCGTTTTTTTAATTCTATATCTAATACATTATAGTTTACTATATGTCTTAAATTTAATAATGCTTGTGTTATCACTCGTCTTCTAAAGATTTCTGTTGAGATATACCTTCCGATAGGCCCTTTTGGTTTTAGTGCCGTCGATTTCATTTCTTTCTTTCTTTTTTGTGTTATTGCCTCGGGTTCCCTTGAATTAAATATTCTATAATATTCTTGTCTTGCTGAGAATACCGCTTCCACTTTCTTTGTTCTTAAATTTTGAAATACTAAAAACATATTTCTTCTTTTTAATTTTATTTTTAATACTCCTTGTCTTAATGCTTTCTTTTCTATTTTTCTTCTTTTTTTTCCTTTTTTTGCTCCTACGTTTCTTATTGGTACTTTTTTTCCTTTTAATCTTGCTTTTTCATCTCTAATTGCTTGTCGTTTTAAAAATTGTATTTTATTATAAATTGTTCTTAATTTTTTTTTCAGTAGATATGGTGTTACTTTTCTTTTTCTATTTCTTCTATAGGTACTTAGTTCATTTTTTCTAACCATCTTATATATTTTATATAATGATGGTACTTTTACTCGCTGTTTTGGTAATCTTAAATTATATACTTGACTTTCTTCTGCTATTATATTATTTAAAATATTATATCTATTTCTAATATTTTTTCCATATTGTCTATATCTTTTTTTTGCCACTTTTGCATATTCTCTTATTTTTGTTACAAATTTATCTTTATATGCTTTATATATTTTTGCTTCTACTCTTTTTCGGGGTTTTTCATTTTCTACCCTGAATACTTCGATTCTTTTTTTTAATAATTCTTGTGTTGTTTCCACTATTGTTGCTAATTTTTTGTATGGTAACACTTCTTGTATTAGTCTCATTTTCATGTTCTCATCGATATATTCGACTGTTTGCGCTTTACATTCTAATAATTCTTTTATTCCTCTTAAATATTGATATAATCCAGTATCTTTTCCTTCTGCATTTGCCGCACCTTTTCCTCTTAGTATATTTAATATTAATTTTATTATTAACTCTTTTTTTATTTCTTCTTGTTTTTCTTGTTTCTTTAATACTAAAGTTAATAATTTTTTTGCTATTTGTATTTTTACATTTTTTTTATGTTTTTCTACTACTCTTTTATTCTTTACTAACTCTTTTTGTTTTGTTATTGTTTTTCTTAATTGTATTTGTGTTCTTTGTTGTGTTTCATTTAAATATGACTCTATTGTTATATAACGATTCTCTATAGCTCGACTCGTACTTGTAAACGGCTCCTTATAATTATTTAAAATCTTTTCTATATTCGATTGTTGTAGTCTTTTTAACGTATTTAATTGTCCTGGGATTTTTTGCTCCTTTTTTTCATTCCGAATTTTACTTCGTTTCAATTTTTTCTCGACTATCTTCTTTTGTACTTTTGTTCTTGGAACCCACTTCTTTTTATTTCTCTTTTTTCCATATTGCTCTTGTCTCTTTTTCCAATAAGCATCTTGTTCTCTTGCAATCTCAAAATATAATGGTAATACCTTCTCATAATCTGGGAGTGCTTTACTTTTTAAAAAGACATATCGCTGTTTCTTAAATCGCTCTTCTTTTTGTTTCACCTTGATCAATCTCCGTTGTTTCTGTGTCAACTCTCGAATTAACTTACCTACTTTTTTTTTACTTTTTTTTTGTAATGCAGCGACTTCATTTCGTCCTAAATGCATTGCCCTTTGTGTTGCATAACTAGTCACAGTCGTTTTTAGGCTTCTTATTCGTTTCTGCTTTTGTTGTTCTCTTTTTTTTAATAATACTAATTGAGTTAATAGACTACTTTTTCTGCTATTTTGAATTTTTTTTTTATAAGATACTCCGACAGCCTTTCTATTTAAAGCTCTCTTTTGTAACTCATAAGATACTTTTAATAAATGAAGTCTACTACTTCGTAAGCTACTTACTTCATCTTTTAATACTACTCCGATTTGATTTGTTTCTTTAAGTGACTTTAACTTTAATGGGAAATTTATATTTTTTATTAGCACTCTTTCTACTGGTCGAACGTTCTCTAAATTTACTTTATAGTCCACGGCCTTCACAGGTGTGTTAAACGCTACTATTCGTTTCGAAGAGTCGCCTTCGTCGATTGCGCTGCCCATTTCCTTTATATTAAGTACTTGTGGTCTATTCATTGATGTTGTTAAGATATCTGTCAATTTCAGAGTATCATTCTTAAAGAATCTCGCTTTTACGAGTCTTAAATACGCACTTAATGGTAATTTTTTTACTATGTTTTGTGCGCTTTTTGCGTTTATTGGATTTTTATAACTACCATTCTTCTTACTAAATATTACTTGCTTCGTCTGGACCCCCCTTTTTTTTGTAAAGTTTTTTTTTGTTACTTTCATTTTAATATTTTGTTCTCATTATTTCTTCTAACCAGTTATTCATTACAATATCATATAAAAAACTATCATAATATGCAATACTACTTAAATATAATACATGACCTATTACAAACATGCATTTTTTCATATATATTTTTAAAGTCTCTTTTCGTGCTTTTTTTTCATCAAAATATAAATTAAATTGTAAATATGGACTTAATATTTGATTATTCAATGGTCCTATTAAATTATTTTTTCTTCTAATAAATTTATATAACCATAAATTTCGTAAAATTTCTAATGGTAGTTTTAATTCCACATACTTTGTAAAGATTAAGTCTAATCGCTCTAGTTTCTCTTCTAACATATCTCTCTTTACTTTATTCGCTATTTTTTTTTTTTCCATTTTATCTTCTTTTTAGTTTTATTTTGTTGTTTATTATGTTTTTCTTGTAATTTTTTAATTTTATTAAACAATCTTCGTTCTTTTCTATTTGTTGGTTTTTTTTTTAATACATCAACATTTTTTGTTAATTTTACTTCTGCTTTTAATCCAAGTCTTCCTGCTGTTTTCGCATTACTTTTCGTTCTTCCTCTTACTGGATACCCTTTTCTAAATCGAATATATCTATACGCATTTTCAATTCTTCTTATTTTTTCAAACGCTTCTGCTTTTAATCCATAAGTATATTCATATAACCCCTTAAATGTTTGAATAATTTCAACTATTTGTTTTTCTTGACTTTTTAATAAATATTTTCCTGTTAATCGCTCTAAATTTCCACTTAACATTATAATTTTTTTTGCTGTATTTAAATTTATACCTTTAATTTTCTTTTTTAGTTCACTTACTATTTGTTTTTTACTATCTAATTCTATTTTTCCTATTACAATTCCCATTTTATCTTACTTTTCCTTTTTTCAATTTTACTTTTTCATTTATACCTAATATTCCAGTACCTTTATATACATTTATTTTTTTAAAGCTCTTTAATAAACTTACAAATGTTGTTACTTTTTCTTTATTTATACTATATAATATGATTTGAGATCCTTCTATTTTTACTAATACATCTCCTGGTATCTTACAACTTCGATAATGACTAAATCCCACATCTAATACTAATGTATTTTCTACTTTATGAACCACATATCCTAATCCGACTAATTTAATTTCAATACAAAATCCGGCTAATACTCCTTGTATTTGTTGTTTCATCGTCCCGATTATAATTCTACTATCTCCATGATTTTTTAAATAATATAAATTATTTGAGTTTATTACTACTTCTTTTAATTTTAATTCTTTTGTTATAATTCCCATTTTTCCGCTACTTTTTATTCTGACCGCGTTCTTCTCTATTTTATATTCAATTTCAAATTTATTTAAACTTTTGTTTTGACTATATTTCATTTTTTTTTTTTAATAATTCTTGTAATTTTGGATTTACTTTATTTAGTTCTACTATATACTTTATTTCCCCGCCTAATGGATTCCTTAAATGTTTATTTCTTAATTTTAATTGTGGTATTGTTTTTAACCCAAATTTACTTTCAATAAAATACATATTTATTCTTGGTTTTACTTTTTTTATTTGTTTTCCTTTTATATACATTTTTTCTCGATTTACCGATACTGCTTTTATACTTGATAATAAACTTGTCATATCTTGTTTATATTTTAAATAAATACTGATTTTATTTGTTGTTATATCTATTATTTGAAATCCTCTTATTAATCCTTCCGCTTCAAAAATACTTAATAAATCGATTACTCGTTTTGATCCTACTACGGTCACACATGTTGCTTGTGAAATTACTCCTGTCTTTATTGCTGCAAATACATTTTGTAGTTTCTTCATTAATAACTTCTTTTTTTTACTCCACTTATTAACCCCAGTTTCATATATTCTCGAAATCGTAATCTTGAAATTCTATATGCACTTATTATTCCTCTTGATCTTCCTGTTTCTATACATCTATTTTTTATTCTACTAATTGAACTATCTTTTGTACTTCCTATTAATTTCATATTAAAGTAATTTCGTGTTTCTTGATCCAATAATTCATTTCTTCTTAACATTTTATACATATTTTTCATTTTTTCTGCATGTTTATATACTTCTCTTCTTTCTTTATCTTTTTTATTTTTTCTTACTATTTTCATTATTTTATTTTAAATTCATTTCTTTTTGCTAAATAAAATTTATATTTTGTTAATTGTCCTTTTTTTAATCCTATCGGTTTATACCGTAGTTCTATTAACAATTTCGCTTCTAAATTCATATCTTTTCTTACTAATAACGACCTAAATATTTTTAAATTTTTATATCTATATCTTATCATTAAATTTTTTAAATCTATATTATTTGTTTCTGTTAATGTAAATTGATTTCTTTCTCCTAATCCTATATATACTAATGCATTAATAAAAATATTTGCTTTTGCTCTTCTTAATCGTACTGTTAATTGACAATCATCTG